GTCATGTAGTTTACTCCTATTTAAATAAAAATGTTTGACCTGTAAGCAGAAAGCTTATGGATGGATGTAGATTTTTTTTTCTATTTCAAAGAGGATGAGGAGGAGAACGAGGAAGTTCTCCTCAAGCAGCTCCTAAAACTGTCAACCTGCTGACTGAGAACATTTGGATGTAGTAAACTTTGTATTTATATACTTATTAAATTAAATTTCAATTTCCACCATGGTTAAAAAAATCCTAGGGGAAACCCTGTATTGACTTCCATTAATTTTTGTAACTATTTATGCCCAGCCCAGACATTTTCCCTAAAATTAACAATTATTGGTCTATAGCTAACCCTAACCTGAACCAAAACTTAATTCACGTCATAATTCTAAACATAACTAGTAGAGTGCAACGGAGCTGCAAAAAAGTGAGGACAATGAAGAGGTCAAAGACCTCAATTTGATAGTTACTACGGTGCAAATGGTCCTCACTCTTTAGTAAAAACAAGTACACACTCACCTACACACACCACCAACCACTGCTGTCTGGATCCAAGTTACACATATTTTATCAAGCTTTTCATTGTTCATGGTGATAAGTTTCTTTCCAGTTTCTAAAAGAAACAGCTCTTGGTAATGTGTGATGTGTTTGTCCTAAACTTTCTGATTATGTTTTTTTTTGCAGACACACAAAGAAGCTGAATCACCATGTTTGAGCTAATGCATTCACATTAAGCCTTTTGTTTTGCATTCTGTGCTGCTTAGAATTCCCCATTATTAGTACTGACAAGCCATTCATTCCAATTACATTTACCACAAAAATGTGAAGAAGTAAGCACGGCAAGTGTAAGTGAAATTGATTGTATCTCACCGCCGGTATCTGCACCTGCCAATAGATGACTTGGTGCCTATGGAGGGAGGGTCAGAACTCGGGGAGTGAGCTTTCCGTTCTGCTGGGCAATTGTTGAAATGAAACAAACTGCCATGGTTAAGTGCACAACATTCCATGGAGATCACGCAAAGGTTCACTCCTGTACACAAAGACATTTATGTTGGTGTTGCTCTTTTGTTTTCCATTAGAGGTCTGTAAGGATGTGTACGTTTGCTCACAAAGGATGTAAGTGCACTGTCTCCTCTGATAAATTAGGGCGCATTCCATTTGTGCAGCTGAGTACATTGTGCGCATACGCACAGGGCAGTGCACTGTTTGCTTGAGTTTAAAGAGGACAACAAAACAATGTCCAGCCGTTTAGCCTCTCGTTTTCTTAACCAGCTTCTACRTTCCAGGTTCCAGAGAGCTGGTGCCCGTCTCCAGCAGTCACCGTGAGGGAGGTGGGGTACACCCAGAACAGGTCACAAGCTCCACGCATTGCCGCATAGAGACAAACATGGCACCACACCTAGGGTCAACTTAGAGTTACCAAATAAGTTAACGTGTACGGTCTGTGGGAGGAAACTGCATTAAAGAGAGAAAACACCCACGTGCACAGGAAGAACATGCAAACTCCATCCAGGCCGTGAAGAGAATTTCTTTCTGAGAATCAACAACTGGATTCAAAAAGATTTGCAGCTCAGATCCTGTTGTGAAAGGACTTTTGTTAGCTTTGGTCTTTGATCATCAAAATTATAAAGTGATAGAAAAGATTAAATGAACAAATAAGGTCATCCTGTTAAGCCTGCAAAAACAGAAGAGAAGCATTTGTTATCTCGGGAAAGAAAACAATACATTTACTGTAAAGCAATAAAGCAGGGACATCCAGAGTTCCTCCATGTGCTTAAAGAAAGCTGCGAAAAGAGATAAATAAAAGTAACAGGAGCAGCAGCCCTAAACTGTGCGGGCAGTGTTTACCTGGCGCAGGTTGCGGGTGACGCGCACGTCATGCCAGGCATTGTCGTTAAACTTGCCATTGACAGGCTCGACGAGGGCCTCAAAGGCCCCCGAGCCCAGGTTGATGACCAGCCACACGGCGCCACTCTTCAGGGACAGGTTGACGTAATCGGCGGACTTGCCGGTGTGCAGCATGAGGCCATTGCGTTGCAGCGTTCGGAAGGAGAGCGTAATCTCGTCAGTGCTGCTCTGGATCGGCGTCAGGGACAGGTCGTAGCAGAAGAACTCGTTCCCCTTGAAGGTGGCGACAGATTCTTCTTTACCTGCAGACAGAATTAAAACAAGATTGTTGGGAAGCTAAACATGGGTGGAAACAGAGTTGAAAACAGATGTTTACACACAATGTATAAAAAGACGAGCACGTTTTTCTCACTGTCTGACCTTAAATCTGATTAAACCTTTTCTGTTGTAGGTCAATTAGGATTTCCAAAATTATATAATTGAATTAAACACCTTCTCTTGATAAGATGATGTTAGCTTAAAGCTCTGGCATTAAAGGCAGTGGGAACTATGCATTCCTTTAAAGAATACTAAGCCTTTAATTTGATTTAATCTTTAGTTTGACAAGCTGAAGCACAGTGTGAGTTTAAGCAGTTTTCTTGGGTAATACACCCAAATCTTTGGTGATTTAAAAAAAAAATAGTAAAGAGAAACAGGGAACCCCCAAATTTTGCGGAGGTTATGTTCTTACAACAGCAGATGCGAATTTACTTGTGCAATAATCTGGTACAGCACATTAAATGGTGACATTTATGTTTGAGTTGTATATTGAACCTTTTTAAATAAAGTTTATATCATCGTCTTAAAGTACCCGTGAATCGTGAAGGAATGTGATTATTGGATGCAGTCCAGACAAGGCCTACAGTGCATTTGGGTGCCATTTTAATGCAGTAAGAACCAAACACCAATGAACAAGAACTAGAAAGTTAGCTGTTACATGCCACTCAGTAATGTTAGAAGGTGGAAATGCAGCCCTCCGGACATACTGTAGCATGTTTTTTTTTTGTTTTGTTTTTTTCCAGTTATTCAGTTATATTGTTCTTAATAGTTTAGATTGAAAACTCACTTGAAAACTCATGAAAAATCACAAAACCAAAAGGTTTCCAGTTTCAGTTTCCACAGTATCACCAAGTTTACAATAAATTAGAATTAGTTAGGTTTCATGAAAAACATATGCAAAAAAATAAAAAAATTAAAACAAATAACTGAGTCCGCATATTTGCAAGAGTTTACTTTATAATTAAATTTAAAAAATATGTTTTCAAATAACCACACACACAAAATAAACATGGCTGCTCAGCTTGTGTGTTTAAACACCAATTTCTAGAAAGCACTGTGGGGAAAAAAGGAAAGAGAAAAGTGCTGACAACTGTGCTAATGCCCGACAGTCTGTATGCAACACATGGCCTCCTTTCACTGCATTAAGCATCGTTCACACACTACCAGTTAAAACAGACAGTTTCCACAGTGGACACATGTCAAACATCAGCCTAACAGCAGTCAGGGAGARCATTAGGTGCATCTGTCTAAGGATGGAACACACACCTACACAAGAGAAAGTCACACCAGTGAAAATTCAATCAGTAGAAAAGAGAAATTAAACTTTGCAAAAGTGAAACTCAAGTCAAATAAGGTTTACCCTTACGTAATGTTGAATTAAACTGGAGCTTTTCTGTCATGCAGACTGAATACTTTTAAATCACTTAACTCCTTTCATTTGTTAAATACTGTGTTTTATATAGGGATGTCATTAGAAGATTATATACAAATAGAGTATGAAATTATGTTTTCTATGTAATATCGGATGCAGTATATATTTATTGACAAGGCTCTGTTATTTAAACTGATAAAATTCAATTCAATTCAGTTTATTTGTATAGCGCCATGTCACAACAACTGTTGTCTCAGGGCACTGTACACAATATAC